CGTTTTCCCCCCCCCCCCCCCCCCCTCCATATATATTATGGTTGCCACATGCTAACCCTTATTATCCTTCTTTAGCAGAGCCTAAAAACCTAATGAGGATGAGTTGAAGATTTGCTTAAAAAAAATGTTAAATAAAAATCAGCCAAACAAAACTTTGACGCATATCTAATTATGTGATGGTAACTTTGGTTATAGAGGTAAAGAACACATTTTTTCTTACTTCTTGATAGAGAAAGTGCAGATATTCTGCTTAGGTTAATAAAAACGATTCAAACAGTATATTGACCTATTGGACTGACCTGCAGCAATGTAGTGTAGGTAACAAGATCAGGAAAAATATCTTCATCATCATCTTTCTGTGCTTTATCCTGCTATAACACATAAATATTCAATTCATATCATATTAGTCGCTATTGAAGCACTTATTAGCCATTGAGATAGTTTATGAGACCTTCATTTGCTCAAAAAATAGCATTGCGGCATCCAAATTTTCCATCTTGACACATGCAAAGATTAATGTATTGTATGTGAGCCTATCGGGATTCAATCCTTGTCGCAGTATTTCATCATGTGTGCTTAATGCTTCATGAGGACAACCAACACTTATATATCCCTGACAAGTGAAAAAAAATAAAAAAAAAATCATAAGATATATGAAAGAATTTATTTGCTGCTTTGGATTTCAGGAAAACAAAACTATTGTACATAACCCCCAGAATATTCAGATGATGATAAATCATTACAAAATATTGAGTTCATCGATCATTTTCCAACTGAATATCTGTTCAGAAAATCACCTTCATCAATAAGTTGTATGCCAAGATTGATGGACTTCCACCTTCACGAAACACATAACTGTATCTTGCTAGAAGACCATTGGAACGGCGCAGATCCCCTGCACCGGATCATTCCTCATAAAGAGACATTGTCAGTAAACAAATGCATGATTAGACCTACGGAGACAAACTTCATATAACTGTAGAGAGAGAATAATTGAAAATGTGGTCTAGCCTAAGAAACAGTTCGTCAAGACATAAAGGAAGAAACAAGATAGTAGTAGAAATTATTGATATTGAACTGACTAATGAAAATGAAAAAGGAAATTCTTCCAATGGAAAATCTCACCTGCTTCAATTAGAGCATTCAACAGACCACAAATCAGGGGCACAGATAACTGTGGACTTCCAACAGCAGTACCTTTCTCCACGGATTCAAGCATTTGAAATGCTTCATCAATTCTCCGAGCATTACCCAAACCCTTGACAAAATTTATGCTCAAACATGTTAAAATTATCTCATCACATGTCTTTCCAACATTGCACTTTTACAGGAAAAAGAAATGAAAGTTATGTAGAAAACAGTACTAGCAAGTAGCAACTTATCAAGTGAGCCTAACAAGAAGGTTTAGCATATCAAGAGGTCGTTGACCAAATTGAATGCAAGTAAAAATTTAAGAAGGAGAATAGCCAATAATCATCAGACATCCAACTCAATTGAGGCTGAATGATAGAAATCTTTTTGGGTAACATTTCTTTTTTATATATTTTCTTCCTTCCGTAGTGCCATTAACCATTATCCAGCAATGATATTAATATGGAACTGTAACTTCTTTGTGAGATAATGAAGTTTCTTTCACTATACATGATTTATAATGAAAAGTCAACTCAAAATTGATAAAATTGTATTTCAATTGATACCTCAATTGAGGTTTTATCACTCCTCTAAATAGTGGATTTTATAGCCTCTAAATATGGTAATGTACAATTTAAATCAGCTATACTAGGAATAGTATAATTATATACAGTCAAATATTCTATTGTAGGAAGTTCAATCAAATCTCATCAAATTAAATAACTCATTGACAAAAATCAGCAGGGTCAGAAAAGTGCACCATAAATCAGAATATGAACTCTCCCTGCTATTAACCCTTTAAAAATATTCACTTTCTCAAATTATATGCTTGAGCTTATGCATCCTAGGTTATCAGCTATAGAAAACTATGAAATTTTCTACTCATTCACATCCAGATAACTAATGCAACGTATGCTAGCATTCAAAACCCGCATATCTTTTTTGTTTTCAACCACTTAAGGGAGCTTCCATTGATAAAGAACACTACATGCCAAAGGAGTCACGAACTGAGCACAATATTTGAGCAAAGTATGCTATCCTTTGACAAGAGTAAGTGGGAGAACAAAAGATTTCCATTCTCATCATTATCTCTAGTTAGAATTCCCTAAACACTGACATATAAATCACACATAAGTTTCATTAGGTGTCCAAGAAAACTTATGGGCTGATCACATCCTCCTGAAATTTTATTTTTATTTTTTTGGGTCTCAAAATCCAGCTCCAAGAAGTATACCTTCATAATGTACAATCATGACTGGTGCTTCTGTGTAGCTTGCAAGAACTTGGAGTCACCTATTTAAGCAGGCCAATCTCAGGAACTTAATATATCAAAATAAACCTTTTTAAGAGGGGTATAACAACTCCGTAATCTTTCAAGATTCTTCTGCCAATGTCACACTGTGGATCTTAATTGATTCAATCTACGCCTCTCTCCTTCGAAGACCATAAATTAATGAACTTTAACCAACTGCTGTTTAGCCCATCATATTTGATTCCACCGAAAATGAGTTTCTTTTAGAAGAAAATCTCCCTTGTTATTTTCCAACCAGTGCTTGGTTGAATTTTCTTGGGTTCTTCACTTCAAGTTCATCTTCATTTAAAGAGGATAGGACATTTTCCAGCCCAGCCCATCAACCAAAGGTTGAAGTCTCCCCAAGAATATCCATCTCATCTTTGTCAGCCTTAGCAGGCAAGGCAAATTATGGAATGGGTAAGGATGCTTAATAGGTCACTCCTACTACCCTCACTGTGATATACATTATTCGTTCTGTTGTCTACTTCTTCTCTGCAATGTTTCACAGGTCCAATGTTGTCTAAACTAGATTGACTATCTATCAGGACTCAGGAGTCACAAATACTTCAAATGTATAGACATCCTTGGCCTATATCTATTTATCAAGTGAGCTGCAAGTTTTAAATGACTGTGGTTTGACTGAGTATGCTTTTTTGGCATGTCAACACTCAAGTAACGAATAGCTTCATCACACGGTGGATCTATAAAAAGAAACAGTTCCTAACTAGTATTCACGAAATTACTCTTAATAAAAGACTTGTTTTCCTGAAGAAAAAATGACATAATAAATAATGAGAAAATAAGTTTGCAACCTTATAATTGAAGGTCAACTTTAATGCTGTGAATGGCGATTGACACAATCTAATTCTTAACACATTCAATCACTACAAAGTATAAGCTAAATAGTGAATTTTACCTTCAGAAGTGTACCATATGTAATATTATCAACCCCACAGCCCTCTAGCTTTGACATTTCACCAAACACTTCTAAAGCTGAATCAATGTCATCGCAATGAATGCAAGCCTGCATCACCGCGTTCATCACGATCGTGCCCAAATTTCCATATTGACTCTTTGCAATCTCAATTTCTTGAAAAATCTACAACAATTAAATGGAAAGGATAAGTTATCTCAATGAGAGCTGGATATAATATACAACTTATTCTGACCAAAAATAAAAAAATAAAAATTGCACCCTGAAATTTGAAACAAGAATATACCAACTTTTTAACATTAACCAGGGGTAATATATAAATGAATCAATCACTATAAAAACTTAAGATCAGTATCCAAACCAAGGATATGCCGACTTTTTAAAATTACCCTGGGACATATCTAAATGAATGAATCACTATAAGTACTTATTATAATACCCATAAAGCATCTCAGGAATTATTATAACTATTAGCAAATATATATATGTGCTTGAGGTAGAAATGAAATGATTATTGCAATCCTCCAAATATTTGTCAGTTGGAAAAAATAAGAGAAAGAAAGAAAACAAGACACTGGGATGTAGAAACACGGAGAAAATAAAGGAAAACAACTCTTGCACAAAGCAAACCCTATTAGACCTAAACAGTTGCTACTTTCCCACTTTAAGCGTCTCTTCTGCCTGTATTTTTTATGTCTCAGAGCCAGCATGGCTGGAGTATTAGATTAACCACCTCAGTAATAGCTACTTTATGCACTAGGAAAGTCAAATTAAACACAAAGACTAGGTTTTTGATCACTGATCATACTGCCTCGTCTTGGAAAAGGCAAGTTGCAAATCAGCGTCCTAAATTTTTGGAGTAATTTACATGTATATTACAGTTGAATTCAATTGTTCGTGCAAATGCTAGTACTGTAATCAATATTTTTTTCTTACATAAGTAAAGAGATCAATAAATAACAATAGAATAAGGCTCATATACAAGGTAGGCTACAATCAAGAATTGTATTTTAAAGAAAAGATAGTGCTGCATGTGTCCTGCAATAATCAGAATTTGAATGAAAGAAACAGAATGATCTTTATTCTTGGATTTCTAAGCTCTTCTCTAAAGTACTATCATTTTAGAAATTATCAATCTATGGAATTTTAACAAATCAAAGTTGCGATATACTTTCAAACATACACTACATCAAAATTTTAAATTCAACCATTTAACTAACGTTACAAATTGGAATTGAAAGTCCCACATTCATACATTACTTGTGCAAAAAATACACTCAACATTATTGCACCACGTAATCATCAAAAAGATTTAAAGACGAGGTGATTTAATATGGTATCAAACCAGCCAAAGAGATTTAAATAAATAAATAAATCAGTTTCCCTTGCTGACAGCTTTAGGCAAGATGTCTCAATACATAATACGGATAAGTCATCACCAATTTGCCCAAATAACGAAGAACACAAGTACAACCTGAGTGAGTTGGCGGCGGCGAGTGAGTTGAACGATTCGGGAGGTGAGTGACTTGTGATTAAGCCTGGAAGGGAAGCGGGGCCTTTTGGGCAATTTTCTTTGATGCATCTTGTGAACCGATTCAGGTTTTCCGGTGCAGCAAATGAGTGTTGTTGATGATGGTAGAATTCGTAAAGTTCCAACCGAAGGTGGGATTTGTAGCAGAATCTGTTGCATGTTTAACGATGATTAAGAAGCCTCCATTAATGGGTGCACAAAACAATACTCGGCCTCCTGTTGGAGATGGTAGCGATGGAGTGTGTGTGTGTGTGGATAATGCGGGATGATATCATGGTATATCCATGGACAACTGGCGCGTTAATGAAGTGTCTCGATTTTTTAACAGAAAAACTTGCTTGGGCATTTATTGAACTGATTTTTCAATTAAAATCCTAGAATCAAGAATTGACAGTTCAATACTGATTCTAAGTTCTAGATTAAAAAAATTGGATCTTGAGTACGTAGTTCAAATCAGATTCAGTAATTAATTTAGTTTATTGAACTCATTTTTCAATTAATTAATTAATTTTAACCATGTATTTACAAGAAATTTACAATCTTCTAATCACACTTTATTAACTTTTACCATTATAAAAATAATCCCCACCAAATAAACATCAGTTTCACAAATATTTTTACTAACCTATTCATGTAAATGATATTATGTTCTAAATTTCGCTAAAATTTTATGAAATGTGTAATTAAAAAGTTGAATAAATTTGTGAATTTCATTAAATGTGTAGTTGAAAATGAATTTAAAAAAAAAATTAGAAATAAGGTTAGATAGGAGTTTTACTCGAATCAATGCATATTCGATTGTTTTGCCGATTAAAACAAGAAAATTTATGTAACAGTTTCAGCTTAAAATTTATTTTCCAACCACATAAGAATGGAATCAAACATGTGGAGTTAATTACCAAATTAGTCATTAAACTTTGCGTAAAGTTTTTAGGGGTCATTGAACTTCAAAAGTTTCCCCATAAGTCACCGAACTTTATAAAATATAATCCCATCTATCACTTACTTAACGGACGATTAAAAATTTGTTGACATAGTTGACAAAATTGCGTATGTGAAAATCTATTTTCCATTTGACATCCACTTCATTAGCAATTTAAAAATTGAGTAATGGATGAGATAACTAATTACAAAATTCAATGACTCGGTGGAAATTTTACGTGAAGTTTAGTGATATATATAATTTTTTTTTATGACCGTAGGTGTTTGGGCCAGTTTACGCGCACCTCGATTAATAGCACGGGACCTTGAAGTTTACAATTAGGTATTCACCTCAATGGCCTTGAGGGGACTCAAAGTGATGATCATGGGGATTAAATCCAAAGTCTGACTACAGAACTACTCCTTAGGGTTAAAGTTCAGTGATAATTCATATAACTAATCCCAATTTTTATCAATTTTTATGTTTTTTCAGTCTTTTCCTTTATTTTTTATTTTTCTTGTACTTCTATCACACAATTTTATTTTCTCTAGCATCGTCAAAATGTATTAATCACTTAATAGTACTAATCTTTGTCTCGTGCGTTGCACAATTATTGTATTTATCATGTTATTATTAGTGTGGAATGTGTAGAATTTATATTATCCAAAAATTGTAAATACTGGTGCAGCTCT